TTGTCATGTTTCAGACCAGTGCCAAAATCAAAGTGGAAGGTTTTTTTAGTATTTAATTGATTTATATCTGTGATCAGCAGCTGTCCAATTTCAACCAAATATTCTGACCAAAACCGGAGTTTGTATTGGGTCGTCCTTGGCTTCAGCCGTATCCAAGATTTGCCTCGCTCCGTGGGATTCGGCCATGTGGCAATGAGCGCAGTCAGTGCCAAAGGAGATAGTGGTAATTAAGAGGTACGTCGACGATATTTTAACAAATTCAGGGGTAGAGGAACTCCTTCCCAAGGTCAAAGGTACCAAAAAGCAGGCGGCAATGGACTTTCTTTTTGTTGCGAGGAATCATTGGAGGAATGTTACAGTTAATGGATTTGCTGTTCAGCACGTCGAATGAGCTGTGCTGGGATTATAATAAGCTTGCGGCGAAACCTGTTACATTTTCATGGTTACCGCTCAAAGATCGTTAAACAATGTGTAGTGGTATTTTTGCAAGACAATGCTCTGAAGAAATCTTGTCAGAACAGGGTGCCTGGGTCAGTTAAGCATTAATTGTTGAGCTTGAAGGTTGCAGGGTACTCGAATAACATAGTGGAGGGCGTAGCCTTGACATGCCTAAAATGTTCAGTTACATTGAAAAGAAAGCGGGAAAGAAACCGACTGAGTGGTTTCTATTCTGTTTTTTTACAAGTTTTCGCACAATGTGATGGCGATTGCGAATACATTCCGAGTAAATATAATCTTTATCTCTAACTACAGTAAAACAGACTGACGCCAATTTCAGATGGAATAAAAAGTTGTCCTAAAAGGATGGGAGAAGCCCCCGAAAACTACCAGGTTGGTGTTGTCTGACATTCCAATGGTCTGTGGGTTCTCCTACTTTGGACAGACAAAGCGCTGTTTGAATGAAAGATTACTCTAGCACAAAGGGCTGTCTAGAGCAATGCAACGAACTCAAAAATTTGAAGGCACATAGAAAAGTGCAATAATTGTTTGCCAGTGTGGGAGGGCACTATTGTATTCAGTAAAGAAAACAAATTCACACAAAGTGTTTAAAGGACACAATTAGGAGTAGCTCAGTGGGAAATTGTATTAGCCAGCCTTCAGTCCCACTGGATGATGCATCGTGGAGGTATTTACTTTTGTAATGGGTGGAATAGGCGAAAAGGGAACATTGTATTTTTGTATACGGTTTTGTCAGATAGGTTTGAGTCATGCACCTCTGGGTGTGCCATGGGTGCTTGCGATGAATGTGGGAACCAGTGCAAACTCAGTGAAGTTCAGGTGAGAGGGTGTGGTATATGGGAGTAAGCCATTAGCATTGGCTGTGTTTTAGAGGTGTGAAGCTGGTTAAGCACGTGTGCGGATCCGGTGTAGGTCGTGTGAGGGGTGACATATAAACCACAATATGTAATAAAATATATTCAGCTGCGTTTTAGACCTGTGTTTCTCCCTTCTTCCTTTGTCGTCCATCGTATTCGGTTAGATCATGAGAAGCGTTAAACAGCTCACCTGATTATTAACCTTAGCTTCAAGTATAAATTTGTACGGTTATTATGTGGAGAAACAGCTAGAGAATGTATATAAACTCATTGTATATCAAAAGATTCTTTTATCAATTTCTTTCTTTACACCGTTCATCGGATGTCAAACAAATTCGTGTTGGCGCTGTAAAACAGACGCGTCAATAATTTTTGCTTTTGTCCAAGTATTCAGCGCCGTAGCGTAGTAAATTTTAACTTGATCTCTTCTAAAATTACAACCACATGCAAGACAATATTCTACATTCAGTGTTTAGTGTTGAATACTATGTCAGAATACTTGGGTTCGCAGGCAAATAAAAACATTGATTAGAGCCGGTAAAATAAATGTTAATAGTAGGATCATTAAAATAATGTCATGTTTATCATAACAGAGAGGACAAGATATAAAATAATTATAAAAATACGATTAAAGACCATTGGAGATCACTGTGTTTTCATTATACTTGTACAGTAAACGATTCCCACAGTTTTGGATTAAACCAAATAATTATTGAGTCGCGTTTAACGAAGTACTCCGGCTATTGCTTGAGCTACCCTAACGAAATATTTGTTTTGGAATCACTGGCGTATACCCTTACAAGTATGCTATTTAGTACTACGATATTCAAAATACTTATTGTGAAATCGGCAAGTGAACACGATGCCAAAACCAGCATTCAAATATAACCGCGCTTTCCAGTGCCGTGATGTTAGGGGAAGGCAGGCTTGCAGGTCAAGCCGGCACTCTAAAAATGGACTGGCCGGGCATTCGTTTCGTGTTGCTGCGCGGGTGCTGGTGCTAGGATCTAAAGCATTCATGTGGCAAAATAAAGTGTTTGTAATCAGGTGGGAACAACGTCTACAGCCTTAAAAGTCAAACCCTGACTTTCCTTGATGTCACTTTTTCATTCCTGCTAGTAGGGGCTTTCACTTTGCAAACCGCGGTGAGGACCAAACAATGCGTGGAAATTGCTAACAAACAATCTGACTTTATGCCGCAAAAGGCAGGTGTTCCTCAAGGCCGTATACTGGGATCTTTTCTATTCAATTCGTACGTAAAAGTCATGGTAAACATTGATCATGATCTATGTTTTATTATCTACGCAGAAGATACGAGTGTTTTTTTTTCTCCAGAAAATCACACCAACCAAAATATAGAAAGTGCAAATAGATTCCTTGATAAGCTGAATGCTCGGACGAACGCATATTCATTGCAAATAAATGCGAGCAAAACGAAGGAAGTTTTATTTAAAGTTCGTAACAGAAATAGCTTGCGTATGGCCAGTATTTCTCTTGGAGAAAATAAAATAGATATATTAGAGAGTGCAAAAGTTCTTGGTATAGTTTTTAACCAGTAGATAATGTGGGATGAAACAGTGCAGCATATATATATATATGTATATATATATATATACACGGTTATTGTTATAAATTATAAATATGGTGACATACTCCTCATTTCGGCTCTGCTGCTCATCTATAATTCTCTTTTTATTCTCAGTATAACTAGCGCTTTCCCGGTTGGGGATACACGACCGACACAAATCTTAAACAAATTCAAAATCGATGTAAAAATTTAATTCGTATTATATGCCGCGCACCTTGTGACAGTCACTCGAAGCCACGCTTTAACAAATTTAATATAGTACAAACTCTGAGTCATTACAACTACAAACTTGCTCTTTCTTATAAAAACTCTTTTGAAGATTAGGAAAATATTTATTCAATAATAACTAATCTTGAGAAAAAAATTATTCATGAGACCCGCTGTGCAGAAAATGAATAGTACCTCACTCAAGAACGAACTTCGGAATTCAAATGCTAAGGTATACACTCTCCAATCTTTTAAATCATTTAGACTCACTAAACATAGATATTATTTGCTCAACTAGGAAAATTGTACACACAATAGTTATTTAGTTATCCGGTAGGATTTGAATACTAGAATGCAAACAAAATGCGTGTTAATATTATTTCATTTTAAATTGTTTTATTATATTTTACGTCTGTAATTATGCGTACGCTATATATATGTCAGTGTTGAAAAAACTTGAAAGCAAGCTGAAGGTGTGTTTATTATTCTATGTTAATTTGTTTGCTTATATTGTTATGTCTCAGATTCCGTTAAGCTCTGTTTCCTTAAATTTATAATCTGTTGTTGCTGCTGGGGAGGCAGAGGTTTTATCAAGCAACTACGAAGTTGCTTTTTTCTTTCCCTCCGTTCTTCAGTCTTGAACAACAATAAAGAATTTGAATTTGAATTTAAACTTGTATATTTATTATCATCGCGAAACCAAATTATTTTCTCTCAATATACCGTTACTATTGCAGCGATGCTTGTTGGTGTGATCAGCAAATTTTAGTCAAATCGCGGACCATGAAGAAAATGCCGGGGTACTCTTTAATTGAGATTAACGAAGGGAAGCTTTACCATAACCAGACAAGCTAGAACAAGACGCATATTTATTGACGCTGCACATCTTCATGTCTTCCCATCATAAACAGCTTTCAGTCCCACGATGTTTCATATACAATATAGATAGTGCCCTCAAGCTACAACTAGTTGCAAAAGAAACTTGTTGAAACTAGGCTAATTCTAAAGATTCCTTCTGCGTATATACAGCAACAAAAAAAAAAACGCTGGTCGAGTATCTACACTCCTAGTCCTAAATTCAGGCAGCAAAATCACGCTGCTTAGTTTTTTTGTTTTTTTGTTTTTGCTATTTATTTTACATTGTGAGTGCGTTGGAGGCGCACGAGTAGATGCTGTTCACAGGGCTGAGGAATCAACAAATGCATCTTGACAGCAAAGGTTGTTCAATCAGCTTAAATATCAGTTAATATTTTCACCGTCAAGGCCTCGTTGACTATTCGTTTTAACGCCCCGAAACAATGGAACGCAGGTGCGATTAGTTTTATTCAAAGCATTTCTACTGTCAGAAGAAAAATGGTGCTCGTATTTTGAGTCCACAGTGTATTTGTTATAAAAATTTTTAAAATTGAAAGTACAGAAAGGATTGCGCTTGTGCAAGCAATTGGCACAATACTTGACATTTTCTGAATCGCATGAACGTAATTAAAAACAAACGTAATTTCTACGTGTCATGCGTGATGATGTGTTCAATCAAGAAAGCAATCACTTAAGGCATAGATATGAAAGTAATTGAGGTCACCAGGTGTCTTAGATTAGAAGACCTATTTGATAATCCCGATTTACCCCACTTTTCTATGAACCATAAGAAAGTCCCATTTCAAAATGGACATTTCTCGTGCGATATAATTAAAAGCCTTGCGAGGACCACATATTTTTAATTTTTATGTTCAAGAATATTATGATGCTCGCGTTCTCTGCAGGCGTTAGAGATTTTTGTTTTGTGTAAGTTATTTTCACTATATTCTTATTTACACTTTATGTGTACGGTACGTTTCTTCGTAAGTGCTAGTTTTGTAACTTTCGTTTGGAGGCTCAAAATATTTACTCACCATACATTTCAGCATTTTTTCTGTAAACGTTCGCCATAGTAATATTTGTAATGACGTCATCCACAAAAGGATCCTTTATGGCGATTTCAACCTCGCACCCTGTTGCAGCAGCCGCGCTGTTGATGCATGCTTCCACTTTTTCCTTCAGAAAGAGCAGTTCCTTTGCTTTTGGTGCTCTTATGACGAATTCCATTTTGTAGACTGAAGGGGTCACATTGGCTCGGGCGTCTACGTCCTTTATTATCCCTACAATAGGTTTGAATATATCAGTAAAAAATAGGAAGCTCATTATTATAATTATAAAAAATCATTTCTGGAGAAAAAAGAAATTGGGCGTCACTGTTTGTCTTTTTTATTTTAGAATTCATATTTTTATATCCAAAAACTAGTACTGTTTGTTGGTTCTCGGAAACAGGCATATTTTCACTAGGTGTGTTCAACTTTGACATCACAAAACCTCAATGTATAACAACTTTTACAAACAAAATAGATTCGCTCTCATGATTTGTAGTACACGCAGCCAGGCATGTTATGTATTACAGTGGACGGCGCATATCCATCGAAACCGTTTAAAAAGTCTCGTTTAATATACAAAGCGATGAACAGAGGAAGATCGCTTAAGTAAAGCTTACCGGTAGCCTTCCAAGACGGCTTCATTTGTTGCCTGAGCATGGACACATTTACGTAAGCACCAACAGCAGCATCCAGGGCATTGACCCCCTCCCAGGGGGCAGCACCAGAATGCGCTTCTTTTCCTCGGTACTCCACATGAATCTGGAAGCATTTAGCAAACATTCTGTCACACGTTTAACGCTTGTTTTGTTTTAGATTGCCTTATTAGAACTTAAACTTAAGGAAGCTACTGGGCTGAAGTGTTAAACTGCTTAAAATGAAGGACCCTTACATTCAAAAAAAAGTTCTACTGGAGGTAAGGGACAAGAGATTCTCCAAGCCTACAATAACGTTGGCGTGAACTGTTTATTGCTAAGACCTTTTTGCAGGAATTTTGTTTTACTGTGAGATGACCCTTTAGCCTGCTTGAATCCAGTTTCAATTGTAAGTCTATTTGCGCATCTTGTGGAATGTGATACGAAATTACGCACCACCTGCCTCTACAGTTTTACCTTACAACTGTGTGTTTAGCTTCCTTTGCAACAGGGGTCTCCAAACGTTTTCCTAGACAGCCGGATTATGGACATGTTGCAATCTCGAGGGCCGTAAATTCGATAACACAATATAAACAAGGAAATACTAAATGAATAATCCTAAATGGCATTTAAATACAAAAATAATAGAGCAAAAATTAAAAAAAAGGAACGTAAGCTGGACAAATTCATGTACTTTATTTTTAGTTCAATATTTTATCGAGATCTCACCAGATATAAATAGAAGCGCATGGTAACTTTAGAATATTCACAGAGGGTAGAACACTGATAAAATTAGTAGATAAGGTCACTATTCACGATAACCACGTGATTGCAAAGCAAACTTTTCATGGTTAAGCAGGCATGAAGCAGGAAAATACGAATAGTAATTCAGGTGATGACAAAACATAATAAATAATATGGCGAGATAACTGGCGTTTCGATGCACTTTCCTAGGCATGTGCGAATAGTAGGTTTCGAGTCCAAAACGAATTGGGGGCAAGCAAATAGTGGTTTCGGCTGAATATTTTAGAATCGAATAGTTTTTCCCAGCGTTTCACTCTGCACCATGCCTAAACAAAAAAGTGAAAGCCGTTTACAACTCCCTGTAACACCTAATTAGAGCGCAGCTCTTGAGGAGGAGGAGGGAAGGGTACTGGGGGTGAAGTGACCTGGGGGGGGTCACGTGACCAATTGGGGGTCACGTGACCTTAGGGGGTCACGTGACGATGCCGATGATGTCATCAGTGACGTCACTGATGACGTCATTCGTGATGATGACGATGACGATGCGGATGCCGGTGACGTCATCAGTGACGTCACTGATGACGTCATCAGTGATGATGACAATGACGATGCGGACGCCGGTGAGGTCATCAGTGACGTCACTGATGACGTCATCAGTGACGATGACGATGCGGACTCCGATGACGTCATCAGCGATGATGACGATGACGACGCGGATGTCGGTGACGTCATCAGTGACGTCACTGATGACGTAATTCGTGATGATGACGATGACGATTCTGATTCCGGTGACGTCATCAGTGACGTAACTGATGACGTCATCAGTGATGATGACTATGACGATGCGGATGCCGGTGAGGTCATCAGTGACGTCACTGATGACGTCATCAGTGATGACGTCATCAGTGATGATGACGATGTGGATGCCGGGGACGTCATCAGTGACGATGACGTCATCGGGGAGGTCACGTGACCTCGGGGGGGGGGGGGGGTCACGTGACCCTGGGGGGTGGTCACGTGACCTCGGGGGGTCACGTGACTTTGGGTGTCACGTGACCTCTAGGGGTCACGTGACCTTAAGGGCCACGTGACCTTGGGACGACCTTGGGGGGGTCGCGTGACCTTGGAGTGACCTTGTTTACGCCGACGCCGACGGCGCTCAAGCCGGGAACGGGCCCCTAAGAGCTGCGCTCTAAAAAAGAAAAAAACATCTGCACTCGTAACGACTGTTCTCAAGCTTCTACTTATCCATGGCTAAGCATGGGCGAACTTTAGGGGTGGGGGCATTGCATTTATTTAGGCCTTCCCAAGCTCAACCTATTTTAATGAAAAAATTTATATTCACCAGCAAAAGGTTTAGGTCAGGGTGACATAGCAAATATTAGGCCAACAAAATAGATGGGGCAAAGTTTCGGACCGTGACGTCATCTCTCTACAGACCCTCCCCCCCCCCCTCCGCCAGCCTGTATCTTGGCTGAGTTAACTTTGATCCAGCTATATTTAGAAATCGAGACATCAAAAAGTTTATTGCCTACATAAGAATGGCAATTAAGCAACGCACTTAACATACAATCAAACCTATAGAGATGGCCCGCTATATCTAATCGAAGGGATTTATAAATCTCCTTGGCATATGCAAGCGATCTTGATTAAATCTAGATTGTCAAAAAAATAAAACAGCCAATCATGAATGATGAACGAAAGTTGTGAGGACATCTCTGCCTAACATTTAATTTTAAAAACATTCTTGTAGTGGAGATATTAACATTCCCAAAGTTTCTGTTACTTCTTACACATACCACGTGGGCATGTGCACTGTCTCGCTTTGAAAGTAGGCTTTTTAAAACATGACTGCAATATTGGTACTTTTTCAAGTGTTCATCGCGCCGGGTTAGCCCCACTGAGCGCGCTTCCCCCAGTATCCCTGTGCACTGCGGAGAAGCAACGATGTGAAAGCGAGGTCCTCCGGTTTTGCTTCTCCGCATTCTAAAAGTGCTCGGTAAGAAGCGCGCTCAACGGGGCAAACCTGACGCGGTGAACACTTCGAAAATACGAATATCAGAGTTTATCGCGAAGCGAGTATCGAGTAGCGTGTTATTTGAAACTACTATTCGAAAATCCGAGTATTCGCACAACACTAGTGTTCTCTCGTTCTTCCTGTTTACGCTTTTGGTGCGTGTCGCGGCGCCCATGTTTTTACGAGCGCTCATATTTTGGAATTGGTAGCAGCGGGCCGAGGGCCGGGTGTCACTGTAAAGACCATGGCCATCCCCAGCGGGCCAGCGGGAGCGCCTCCTCAGGCCGATGTTTGGAAACACGCACTGGCTGAGTGAATCTCTCTGGTCTATGCAGCACGTAGTTTGACCTACAAATACAGTCTACGGAGTGACACTGAGCATGACGTGAGCATTTGAAAGGCCATTCTCATTGCGATATCCCGGACTTCTTTTTTGGCTGGAGATATTTACAGCCACTTTATTCGCCGAGCTCCTTTCATGACATGCTGATATTAACCTTTCGCGAGGTCCGTTGGAAAGTACGCACACAGACATTGTTCGAGTGATGTGTGTACGCAGCGATAATAGAATAGATTATGTAATGTAGTATTGTTATGTTTGCTTTCTCCTTTGCAGTGTTCTTCCTTGAACAACATAGAACGGATTACAAAATAGATGCATCATTTACTTTGGGTCGGAGATCGAGCAGCCACGCCCCACACTTCCCACCAGCTGCGGTGAAAGCAAACATAAATTGCACGTGTGTTTCTCACATTGCATTCGACTGACGCAGCCGAAAACTGTGTGAGCGTTGAGATGGGACGCGTGCCGGATCAGTGAAGTACAAATTGAGCGCGAGTCACAGTTTAACGTTGACGCAGCACTCATGTCCTATCTTTGCCCCGTGATTGACTGATGGGTTAACACTCATCAATCATTAAGATGGGTTAACACAGAGCTGCGTGGCATAGCGACTGGGCAAACCGCCCGTTATTCACCCCGTTCGGATGGAGTTGATAGCACGATGGTACCACAGTATGTCGTGCCCAAGTAAACTCCCGGTAGTTCGCTTTTTCGTTCTTCCGCAACAAACAGCAATCTGATCAGATTCGTTCAACGCAGGTTTTGTTAAATGGCTGGCCCCTAACCATGTACAGTAAGGTACCAGGCATTCGAAGTCGACAGGCCGACTGCCAGCAGAATACCGACGTAGCGCTCGTATACTCACTCATTAGAAACCAGCCGAACCCCCTCCTCGAGTGTGTTACTCGCGGTCGCAGTAAAACATCACGTGTTCATACCGATGAGAAAAGTAATTAGGGCTTAAAAGGTAAGATGAGCTACTTCAAGCTTAAAAGGTAAGATGAGCTAATTAGGGCTTAGAATGTAAGACGAGTTTGACAACAGGAGGACACCCGCCTCTTCATTGCAGAAATTGTCTGTGCCAGCCCAACTATCAAAATAACACGATCTTGGGGAGGGCCGGTGACAAAACTGCGAGGGAAATGGAAGAAGCGCATGCTACAAAGAAAGAGAGCACTGAAGGCTGCGTCAGCCAACCGTCAATTTTTCTGAATCAAAAAGATTATGATTTTATTCACAAGTAAGGATGAGTCACGTCGCTAAGTGATTCAGTGTATATTTTTTTTTATTGGAGGCTGTTTGATTTAGCTGCTTTTAAAGAAATGTTCAGTTTAGAGTAATCGCTCGTTCTCTTCGCCTTCCTTTTTGTGTCCTTGCCTGTTGCTAACGCTTTTAATTTTATAAGTCATGAACCAACTCGCCCGCTTCATCACTTTAGTTGAGCTAATAATGCCAGTCGTGTTATGATAAATACTCTTAAAGAATTCTAAACGCGAGTTTTTCTGTCGAAGCTCTAGTGAACACCAACGTGGTGATTGCTTCGTATCAGTCACACTTGCGTAACGGCTATAGTAGCCCAAGACAAAGCGAGGGGCGCGACTTTGTATTTTTTCTAGGTCATCAACATGATTATTCTGAGTGGGGTCCCACACAGTGCAGGTATAATCTACGATTGGGCGCACATAGGTTAGGTACCAAAACCCGTTCGGCGTACAACGCGCTGACGTCGAACTGAACTTTTGGGGTGTCTTATATGTCACAAAGGGTGCAATGGCTACGCCCTTTTTTATGAGAGTCTACTGGCCCCGCAGCGTCGAACCGCACGAGCGTAACCGGTGGGTTCAACGTCTTGCCAGCTCTCGCAACAAACACCGAACCTCCTTACTTGCAGCCCACTGATGGACCTCTGTACCAGCCGTACATTTTTCTTCATTTCGTACCAGGGGAACGACATGAATGACAGCGTTTACAGCTGCTACGTACGACTAACAGATGGGAAAGCGATCACATGATTTCATCGGGCGGCGTGACGCCCTAGACTTATATATCCGTTGTATAGAAGCTAACCGTCATCACGAGCTGATTTTTTTTAAACCAGACCCAGCCTCGTCCGACGGCTCTTTGGAATTGGCCCGCCCTCGGCCCGTGACTTGTTTACGACAACAGGCCCGGTCCGGCTCCAGTCCGACAGCCGTCCCAGACCGACCTGGGCCCTTCCTCTTTTCACTCGGTATAAAGCTAAGTTCACGATTTGCGCAGTTTGCCAAACTCGCTCGTCACTGCTGCCCATGTTATCTGCGGTAGACGATGTCAACGCCCATAATAACATTTGCAGCTAAATCGTCGTAAAACGTTTAGCGGAAATAAAACTCACGGCAAACACAAAAACCGCTTGTTATGTGTGTGTCAGTCCTTGCTCAAAATGCAGTACAGATCCTTTCTTATTTTGCTGCTATTATTGCTAATATAAGTCGGACCCTTTTGCCGGCCTCAGTAGCAAGAAAAAAAAACCTTCCCTTTTTTCGTTTTTTTTTTTGCTATCAAACATGACTTAAAAATAGGCGAGGAATGATGAGCAAAGCGTGCAAAAAGAAAGCGAGGAATGATGAGCAAAGCGTGCAAAAACGTTGCAATGCAACGGATGCGTCGTGACGGGCTGCTCGGTCAAAACATAGAGACGTGCTTCCAAATTGCCCACTTCCGTTGTGCACAACGCAAAAAAAAAAAAAGCGTTACAAAAAATATTGCCGTCTTTTGGTGTGGTCTGAAAGAAAGTGCTTAGGAAAAGCACCCTAAAAGAAGGACTTTTACGAATGCAGCGTGTCTTTGCCTCTGTGTCGGATGCAGGTATTCGCACGCGATGTGCGAGTGAAGTGTCGCCGGCGTCGAAAACAAACACAGAGCAGCTGGTGCTGCAGCAGAGCACTCGACGCACACACATAGAACAATAAAAAACGAGACGGCTAGTAGAAAACAAAATGAGACTCAAAGTGAAAGAAAAGGCAACTCAGCTATTGCGCTCGGGAAATTTGAAGTGTACTTTGTGGGCCCCTACGCCATCTTTGCAAACCCACTCTTTGAACGCCATCCATAGGAACCGCAAAAAACAGAGCGCCTATTTGGTTCCCTAGTTTTTTGCTGACCATGCACTGCCAGTAACATTTGCCGATCCTCGCGCAGTTTGCAGAACGCTTCTCCTTGACCGGCTTAATCGGTCAACTAAGTGTGCTGGCTACCTTCTTTACCCTGAATAAACCTCCTCTTTAATTTAGTTTTATCGCAGTAGGCGTAAAATAGCATTTGCCCTTCTTGTACGTCGGCCCAAAAAGGTACTTTTCTATAAACAAAAATATATTTAACGAGTTATTTGTCTTTTTGTTTTCTGCTCATCGGAAACAATTTGTTACTGGATCCTGATTCTTTGAAGGCACTTTCTCTTTGCAATTGTTGAGTGTCCTTGCACGCCTCAATGCTAGGTACCCAAAAGCTATTATAAATACCTATGCACCCCGAAAGCTTTGGCTTCCGAATTATCGATTGACGCTGCTGATGCCAAATTTTAAGTGCTTTTTTCGTGTTATTTTTACATCATAAATCATGGCTGTTCCTTTTGCACGACCGCATTTTGCTAGAAAAAAATGTGAAAGAACATCGTTGGGAGACCAATATTCAGAACTCCAAAAATCTGTTTTCGCCTTTTCATATTATCACATATTGCCCCTAGAGCAGATATTTCAAACTCAGCTGCATGCCAACTCAATAACGAAAGTGCGGAATGTTTCCCCACTTTGACCGAAGCTAAAAAAAGTAACTCATTTTTTTCGTCAACGCATTTCCGCCAATTGTAGCAAATCTTATATGAAGTAAAGCGGAAAAGTGCCGGCAAAGTATCAAATTAATAATCTTGTTAATTCTCATGTCATATAGATAGCACTAAACTTAAAATGTCCTATTTTGCCAAATGTCTCATTTTGCCCCGCTTTACTTGCCTTATTTCTACCAATAAATCCAGGAGACCTAATTTGTGCAGCTTGTCTCCCCAGCTCCGAAAAAGCTCACCAGTAAACGCCCAGCGAAGCACGGCACACGCTGCATATTTTTGTTTTCTAAATGTTCCCGTAAAATAAAGATATGTACACAACATTCATTTTAGGAAAAAAAATTTTTATTGAAAACGCACTTAAAAGAAAACTATTTCTTCGGCATAACATTTTCCACAACGGTGGGCGTCAGTTAAAGAGTCTAAAGTTAAAAATAGTAAATGCGTTACCTAAAATGGTCTAATTACTTTCATACAAGTTCGTTTCAGCTGACATATTCTAATAACGAATGCCTATCGTTAAAGTGTATCGTAGCAATTTTTGGAACTCAGAAAACAGAGTTCTGCTTCGCACTGTTCCCTGGCGAATGTAGGCTTTATAGTGTCCACCATACGAAAGCAAACAAAAACAGTGTCGAAAAATGTGTGCTCGAGTAGACACCGCGGTTACTCGCTACTCGCGCCCGTTGTGGATGTCGACGTCTCTTCCAGCTTGGACTTCTGCCATTTTTTTTTTTTTTTTTTGCATCTAGCTTCGGTTTTTTGTTTGCTCATGTCGTAAGTTTTCCAAAGCAGGACTGAGGTATCGAAATTCTAATAACAACTGTGGCGTATCTTGACGACGAGGGGCGCATCAAATCTGTCAACTAAAAGTAATATTTGAAATGTTAACTAGTGAATTTTATTGTAATTCACTTTCCAAATGTCACTTTACCCTTGCAACATGACGTCCTTCGATGTCGATAGCTTGGTTTGCAAGAATATGTTTTTTTTTTTTCTTTTTTTGCACTCTAATCTTTTTTCTTTTGTTACTTTCCTTGTTGGAGAAAACTACATGTCTATTTTTCTCTGCATGCGAAGGTTTCGCCGTGAATCTTAACTAATGGCTTACGTGCGCTATGAGCCTCTGCAGTTAGATGTTTTGAACGGGCCAAGAAGCGTGAACTGTGTGAGTTGGCTGACATGAACAGATGATTCTATGAGCTGCAGATGCCTGAGGCTAACTTGAGTACGGACAGGGCGCACTTTAGCGAGGAGCACACAGCGGCACTGTTAACGCAAACAAGATGTTGCCAATGCTTTTTTTTTTTTTTTTTGTGATCATGGTTTTCAGTGGAGCGGGAAACTGAGACTTTTGCACAAAACCAAGAGGTAAGACCTGGTGCAGACAAACATCCTTTAAAGTAAAATACAAAAAAAAAACTCCGGTTTCCTTTTTGCGCTAACAGTATCACGCAGTGTACTTCCTCTGGAACACTAACAACAAAACAAAAACTGATGGGGATAGTGCAGCTGCAGAGCGCTAATGCGACAATACGTGACGCAGCGTACCGCTTGTCAAGTGCTTCCATTTTATAACTGCTAGCGACGTTTTATTTTTGAAACAGTATCATCAAGAGGTGCTTCTTTCAATTAAGATCTCATGATGTAGACTTCATTATGACATTAGAGAACATACGCATATGTTACCTTTCCATGGGCACTGCTTGGGAACGTATGAATGCTTGCGGGTGCTGGGTGAAGCATCATGGCCACATCAGCATCCTTGAAAGCGCCGGCGTTAAGCAGTTGAACTTTCCCAAATCCAGCTTCTTCCGCAGGAGTCCCCATGACAACCACCTTAGGAAATTACCAGTTTAATAATCAGGAAGGTCCCTCCTAATTACAAAAATCACCCCTCCTTCGGACTATTGTAGCAAAGGCAGTGGTAACATAGAATGTGATGCAGCGTCAAGCCATGTGGTCAGCTCTGAATCGCATTCTTATACGCTTTCATTTGTGAAAAGAACTAGCAAAACGTCCGTACCTAGTTGTTTTCTATTTATTTCACTCAACAACACTGGCGCCACTTGTAGACTACAAAACAAGTTGACAACTCGAACTACTTCAACTCATCGTGGCAAAGTAAACAAACCTCACCTGTCGTTTCTTTTTTTTTTTTCAGATTTTTTTATCGTTTAATTTACCTTTTTTCTGGACAAGCTTCAGCTCCACTGTTTAGCGCATTCTATAAATATAAAGCGCCAATCTATGTTTGACTTTCAGATGTGACCCACTGGAGTAGCCTATCTACCCGAGCAAGATTTAGAGCAGAGTCAACGTACCCTTGAGAAACGGTGATTCGTCAAGCGTTTCTCTTACCCACAATTGACAAAATGGCACTCATCTTTAAAATATGTTTGCAAAATACCAAATCGCAAGCGCGGTTTTAAGCCAATACAAAGAACAAACAGAGAAACCGACTATGTTTTATCTTACCTTTCCAGTAAGTGTTACATCTTGCTTTAGGACCTCTTTCACCGCAATGCCCGCAGCAACGGAGCACTCAGCGATCAAGTTGTGGCCGCAAGCATGCCCAATGTTTGGAAGGGCATCATACTCACACATGATGGTCACAACGGGTTCTCCACCTTGAAAGGGAAAACATTTCGTTTTTATATTATTATTTTAGACACTTCAAGTTGAGTGCGGACTCCCTCACAATGACTTCGAGAACGCCCGCACGCACGCACGCACGGTCGCACACGCGTCGACGTATACGCAAGCACTATCAGAATAGAAACGTAGGCCCGGAAGAAAACTAGAAATGGACGTTTAATAGGACGAACTTATCCCAGAAACTAAAACAAAAATGCTCCTCCGGTCCTGCACTGGCGATGAGAGGGCGACTGATCCGATGCTGCTAGCCACGGCTCCTCTTATACAGTTAGTGCTGTCTCCAACATTCTCGATAGAGGCCATAGGATCCTGGAACTTTTAAGTTAGATTATTGTACTGAAAGGCTGGAAAACAAGAAAGAAAATCTAATAAAATGATAACCAGGGAGGGTTTGAACTCCGTGCGTTCGACTGGCAACCATGAACACTGCAAACTTGGCTATGCATGTAGCATGATACCCCGCGAAGAAGCCGTGGCCCGCTACTTATCGAAAGACGGGCAACATGAAAGACTAAGGATCCCCAAGTAAAGCCGCCAATGTTTACGAACATTCTCGCGGTTCTATACTTTCACCAAGTGTGCTGTATTGTGGTCGTGCCTCTGGTTACAAGCTCGTGGTTGCCGACACTCGTTGTGATTGGGGGTCATCGCCACCGCCGTCGTTGTTCATCTCCGTCGATCGTGAAGCTTCTCGTCTTCCGTTGATCGTGAAGCTTCTCGTCTTCCGTTGATCGTGAAGCTTCTCGTCTTCCGTTGCCGTGGAGTTTCGTCTTCGTGGGTTACCGTGGAAAGCCTTTGTTCGTCGTTCTTTTTATCGCTGTTTGTCGTCTTTGAACAGCTTAGTTCTTCGCTCCTTGGGGTCATCCCCGCCATAGTCGTCTTCTGTCTTTTTTGTCATTAACCTTTATCGCACGGCATTATCATCGTCTAACTTTGTTCGAACCCTCGGTGCTGAGCATCGTTACCATGCGCCTCCCCTGATAGGACAAAACTACAATTTTTATTACCATCAAGATCGGAGTCGGTGCATTAGATGACTGATTGAACACATTGCTTCATGGATAACACAGAAGGCTGAATGTCATAAGAAAATAACATATTTGTTAACCTTATTGTATATTTTCCCGTGGGAATTCTATATTTGAACCTAAATATTTCGGCACAATTTTGAAAAGTCGGAACCTTCTTGTGAAATTTGGTAGGGGATTTTATTTACTTTCGTGAATTTTATATTCCGTTGTAGTATGTACGCCTACAATAAAACCTTGTTTACCTTGCGTAGTAGCATCGTAGAACCGGTAACCTTAATTACCGCAAAATTGACTTGTATATCATAGTGCCGGTCTCTAACTCATTCCTAACAGAAACGAGCAAATATATTTAGTTTTGTTCTGATTTAAACTTCTTTCAACTCGTCACAGATCCTACTAGGGCTTCATCACTTTCATTTAACATATTAAATATAGTATTAACCACGCATCCAAGCATCATATTATTAGAAGCATGCCTCCCTTGACCCAGGGACAGCGCCGGTTCCACACATCTCATTACACATACCCTTCAAGCTTCCAAATGTTGCGTAAAACAAAAGACCGTGGCTACATCAGTGCTGACCGCGCGTCGCTAATTTAAACTTATCCAAATTCTTTAATAAATACTAAAGCGGTTTTTTTTTTTCGAGAGAGAACTTTATTGAATCGATTTCGATGTTTTGTAACGCCATCTGCATGCATCTGATTAACTTCCTGGATTTATGCAGTTTCTTCCCCAATGCGCAGCATGGCTTCCGGAAACACCTTTTTTTTTAGACCCCACTACTTATTCTTACTAACGACTTGGTTAAACATCTTGACACGGGCTTTTCTACTGACGCCGTGTCTCTTGATTTCGCCAGAGCTCTTGATAAAGTTCCACAGAATCGCCTTCCCTTTTAACTTTGTTCACTAAAACAGGACTCTCATGTTTTTGAATCGACCGAATTATTCCTTAGTCCTCGCTCTCTATTCGTTTTTTTCTAACATCAGATCCTTCTCTTTCTTCCCTGGTTCTTCCGGTGTTCCTCAAGAAACTGTACTTAGGCCTTCACTCTTTTTAATCTACATTAATGATATCTCACCTCACCTCTCGTTCTCTGTTCGTCATTTCGCTGATAACTGTGTTGTTTATAAAGTAGTAAAAACCTCAGACGACCCTCTCGTCATCCAAAAAGGCATTAACAAAATTACTGAATGGTGCCGCACATGCCAGATGTGTCGAAATATTAACAAAATTTTCATGCATCTGCGAATCACACGTTCTTCCTCCCAGCCCTTAAACGCATTAACACCCAACGGCACTACCATTCAGACTTCTACAGAGTACACCTAGATTGGTGTTTGTTATATACTAGTCGATGTCGCGAGATCTATAATATTTACGGAGTGGGTCCTCGCGACAGATGGAGCCGCTTGAAAAATAAAGAAGAAGACTGCTGTGTTCTGAAACCGCTACAGGTCTCGATATTGTCTCGTCGGCTCCGGAGTCTTGGTTTATAACAGTGGCAACGAGCCAGGACTATGAAGAGACGTACAGCGTGGAGGATCCTTCGTCCATCCTAAGAGCGAACCAGTCTGCGGGTTTTTCAAAGATGAATCACCAGCTGCCAGAGTTTGACGAAGACAAGGACAAATGGAGTACGTACCTCATCAAGGTAGAGGCTTACTTTGAGGGCAATGAGGTTACAAATGACGCGAAGAGACGAGCATTGCTCGTAGCGGCACTAGGTACCAAAACAGTTCGAGTACTCTGTGGAAGAGTGGCTCCACAAAAACCTAATGCTCTAACGTATGCTGAGGTGGTAGCAGCTCTAGATGCGCACTACGATCCGAAGCCAAACGAAATATCTGAGAGCTTTAGGTTTTTCAATCGTTGTTAAAAAGAGGGAGAGTCGATTTACGAATTCATAGTCGAAATCCGCAGAATAGCGGATAACTGCAATTTTTCGGCGATGTTGGACAGAATGCTCAGAGACAGGATCGTCTGTGGCGTGCGGTCAAAGAACCTTCAGAAGCAACTGCTGTCAAAAAAGGAACTGACATTAGCAGATGACACCAAAAGAATGACTTGTGATGAACCCTCGGAAGTCCTCAGGATGAAAGTCCAAGGAAAGAGGTCCGAAAAATTTCGCCCACGACAACAACACACAAGGGTTTGTGAGCACTGTGGAAGCCGAGAGCACGAAGGTAACCGCTGCCAGTACAAAGGAACGACATGTTTCCACTGCGGAAAATGTGGTCACTGGGCCCGGAACTGTAAACATCCTGGGCAACAGTGGTCATATTCCAGGCCGCATGTGCAAGCCAAAGCACTAGAAGCAGCAGGGAGTTCGTCGGAAGAAACGGAAACCGAAGACATGCAAATATGGAGCTTGAAGACCAAAACTGTGGATCATGTTCCAGCAGTGCGACGCAAGTTCTCTTGGGGCGGAGTCGATCTGCTGATGGAAGTAGACACTGGATCACCCGTCTGTGTCATCTCGCGGGAGGTCTACACTCAGCACCGTGAACGCTGGCCTAAGCTTCAAGCATCGCAGGTGAAACTGTCCTGCTACCGAGGAAGAATACCCGTGCTGGGTGAGCTACACATGCAAGTCTCGTACCGAGGCACCCTATTAAAGTGCAGTTTGACTGTGTTGAACTGGTGCGGTTCATGTTTGTGTGGACGTGATTTAATTTTCAAGCTGAACAAGGCCGGGACTTCTGTGCTAAGCTTTACAGGAAATGCCGTGCCGCTGAGTAACAAACCAGTCAACGTGGAAGATCTCGAGGCACTTCTCTGCCAGTTTCAAGATTTGTTTACTCCGGGCATCGGGCTGATCACGGGACCACCTGCTCGACTAAACCTAAAGGAGGGTACCACACCAAAGTTTTGCAAGGCAAGACCGCTTCCTTACGGTCTGAAAGATAAGGTTTCGGCAGAACTTGACCGATTGTTGGAAGTCGGAATTATTTCACCGGTCACACACTCAGAATGGGCTACACCAATCGTCCCGCTGCTGAAGAAGGACGACTCAGTGCGCATCTGCGGGGACTTCAAGGCAACCCTATACCCTGCGTGTGAAGTCGAGCAGTACCCCCTGCCCCGCATCGAGAATCTGTTCGCATATCTGAACGGCGGCGATTGTTTTAGCACCTTGCATCTACGGGATGCGTACAACCAAGTAGCCCTTGACGACGCATCGAAGAAGATGGCTGTGATCAACACACACCGTGGGCTTTTCTGCTACAACCGCTTGCCTTTCGGAATATCATCGGCACCGGCGATATTTCAGCGGACGATGGAGACCATGCTCCGCGGACTAAAAGGCGTGCAGGCATACCTAAACGACGTGGTATTGTCCGAACGAGCTGATGGCAATGTTTTACAGTTGAGAGCAATTCTACAACGGTTCAGGGATGACGGCGTGAAACTCCGGAAAGAGAAGTGTAGGTTCAAAGAACAGGAGGTTACGTACCTCGGACACCGTATTGACGGACAGGGCCTCCATCCCCTAGAAACGAAAGTGGAAGCCATCGTGCATGCACCGCGGCCCAAAAACGTAAGCCAGTTGCGGTCTTTTTGGGGAATGCTGACTTTTTACGCCAGATTTGTTCCCAATATGTCAACCTTGTTGACAAGCCTCTACACATTGCTGGAAAAGGGAGCTCGCTGGACGTGGGGTGAAGCACAGGATGCGGTGTTCCAGAAAGCAAAAGAAGCTCTCAGCTCGGCAAAGGTGCTAACGCACTTTAATCCAGCGAAAGAACTGCGACTAGAGTGCGACGCCTGATTGTACAGCATCGGAGCAGTTCTTTTTCACCGAGAAAGTGGAGAAGACAAACCCATCGGGTTTCGATCAAGAACTCTATCAGCCGCCGAAAGAAATTATTCTCAACTAGAGCGAGAGGCTCTCGCTCTGGTCTTTGGCGTAGCGAAGTTTAGAGACTACCCATTTGGACATGAGTTCACCCTGGTCACGTATCATCAGCCACTCCTGGGGTTGCTGAGATCCGACCGCCCGACTCCCGCTATGGCGGCGGCGCGAATTCAACGATGGGCGCTGCGTTTCGGAAGCTACCGCTACAAGCTACAATACAAGCCTGGCCAAGAAATTCTAAATGCGGATGCCCTGAGCAGGCTACCGCTACCGGCAGTAGCCACAGCAGGAGCGGAAACAGGTGCTGAAGGTGAGCTTCCCGAATATGTGCTTGCTATGGAGCAGTTAGAGGAGGGTGTCGTGACAACCAGGGAGTTGAAACAAATGACAGCTACAGACTTAGTGTTAGCGCAGGTCAAGAACTACATCATGAATGGATGGCCCAAATGTGAGAAGAGCCTAGACTAGAACCTTCAATCGATTTACGGAAGGAAACTAGAACTGTCGGTGGCACACGACTTGGTATATTGGGGCCACCGCGTCATTGTGCCTAGGGAGGCTAGAGGGCGCCTCCTACAACTCCTTTACGAGAGTCATCAGGGAGAGTCGGCTATGAAAGCTATAGCAACATCTCAATTTTGGTGGCCTGGACTGGACAAGGAAATAGAGTACACGTCAGCGACGTGTGACGCCTGTGTCAAAATGTTGCCCATGCCAGCGTCAAAGGCACCAGTTAACTTGACCAAAACACACGAAAACTGGTCCAGAGTACATGTTGAATATCTAGGCTCTTTTAGAGAAAAAGATGATCTTGGTAGTGGTCGACGCACACAGTAAGTGGATCGAGGCAGTTTTTTTGAAACAGGCCACAAGCACAAATACTGTGTCGTGTTTGCGAGATGTGTTTAGCCACTTTGGGATGCCCCACACATTGGTCTCTGATTATGGTACACCTTTCACCAGTGCCGAGTTCTTGAAGTTCAAGTGGAGATACAACATAACGCACACCAGGACCGCACCATTTCACCCTCAGTCAAATGGTCTCGCGGAACGCGCGGTCAGAACTATACAAGATGGGTTGAAGAAAATACAAAACGACGACATTACAAGCAGCCTGGCAAGGCTTCTGTTTAATTATAGACGGACACCATCAAGCTCGGGAAAGTCACCATCTGAACTGCTGCTAGGATATCAAATTCGCTCGCGACTTGATACATGTTTTTCCTCACACTCCACAGGATCTGCCCAAGACACAGACTGGACGATCCAACCTGGGGACCCGGTGTACACCAGAAACTATGGGACAGGAAACAAGTGGATTCCTGGAAAAGTCACGGCGACAACGGGAGCTCGCATGGCAACCGTCGAAACTCCGTCCAAAGTGATAACACGCCATGCGGACCAACTACGTAAACGGCCGCCAGACAACAACGAGGTCATCCCCGCTCCTCCACGATCGTCACCAGGCCCATCAGCCAAGTCGAAGGTGCATGGTGACTGCAGCCCACAACAACCACCGGAGACCTCGAGTGAAGTCTGTGAAAGTGCACCCCAACGACGCTCCACTCGAGTGCGGAAGCCGGTACAGCGCTTTCAATGTTAAGGGGAGAGGAATGTTATATAGTCGATGTCGCGAGATCTATAATATTTACGGAGTGGGTCCTCACGACAGAATGGAGCCGCGTGAAAAATAAAGAAGAAGACTGCTGTGTTCTGAAACCGCTACACGTCTCGATATTTTCTCGTCGGCTCCGGAGTCTTAGTTTATAGCAGTGTTCATTTAACCACTAATATGTCCTGGAATGTTCGTGTCAAATAGACAATATCATCTGCAAACCGCTCACTCGGCTATAATCGTCGCAATTCCAAGTTTGTCCCTTTTAATCTCCAACGTCTCCTTTACGTCACACTTATTCGCGTTACACTAGAGCATGCTTCAGTTATCTGGCAGCCACATCCTTTATCTAAGGCAATCGAACATGCTCAGAATCGTGCTGCTCCGACTATTTTAAATACTATCGCTTTTATGTTGTCAATGCGATGTAATCTCAATTAACTCTTGCTGGTCTTTCCGTTCGTCGCAGACTTTACCATCTTTGCTTCTTTCCAAAATTTACTATTCGGAACCATTACGAGTCTTTCCTCAGTCAGCCCCGCTATATCTATGCAACCCTTGATCATTCATGCAAGATTTCTCGCCCCTAGACCATTTCAACAGCGCATCGCCATTCCCACCTACCAGAAGCCGTTGAGGGCTGGAGTAGCATTCCCGATGACACAGTCACCATCACCGATAACGCTAAATTTAGAGTTGTTCAAAACCAACCACTCGCGTCTGTAATTCCCCTCGCGGCCTTAAGGGAAATTATAGACAAATAAAGAAATAAATTCTAACGCGCCTTGGTTTAACGAAATCATAGACGGTTGCGAAAACGAAAAAAAAAAAGTTTCGCTCTGCCAAGTTTGCGGCTAGATTTGCTGCGTTCCATAACACAGACTATGAGCATACAAATATGGTCAATAAAAATTACTAATATTTTTATAATTTAATTCTCTCCCTATCATGTTAGCAAATATTCCTAAACAGTTCTCGAGTGTCGTAAATCTCAGTACACAAAATAAAATTGTTCTTAATTTTTTTTATGAATGGATATTCCATGGACTGTCATTGCTACTGCGTTAAACATTATTATGTATGTCTTTTACACCCTCGGTTGTTAATCAGCTACGACAATATTGTTTGCCTTTTTTCTCCCCATGAATGTAGTAATAGTGAACTGAAGTCGTGTGGTTAGCATTATTAATAGTATATATTTTCCTGAACTGACGGACGCATTGGACAATTTGAAAATATCTTAAACATCTACAATTCAATAGTTAATTTACGAACATGTAGACTACCTCCTGTAATCGAATGGTTGCTTTAAATGAAATAACGAATTTTTGAAAATAAACGAGGTCTTGACAACTGGGTTTTTGGTAATTAGAGAAACACTGGGTTTAATATTCTCGATACAATTTTAGTTTACAAGACGGACACCATTGGTGGTCGCGTACCGCCATCGCCCGAACACTTCTGCTCTGAGTTCCGCTGTTAGATTACCGCGCGGCTCTCTTGGGCAGCCTGGTCTCGCCCATGGCTATAACCCGATGCCGGATTGGGTCTGCCGCCAGCCAGTCGCGCCTTCATGGCGTGGGAATCCATATGCGAGACCTTGGTTGCCGAGGAGTTCCAATAAATCACAATCTTCTGAGAGCGCAACCTTGCGCCCAGCGAAATAAAAGAAAAGGGCAAAACACGATGATGCTTGCAGCGAAATAAAATAAAAGAGCCAAAACAGAATGGCGCTCGATTGCACTCCTAACCACGACGTATTATTGAACGATTCAAAATGTAAAGGTTGTTCTTTCGCATGCATCTAACAAACAATCAACCAATTTTCATAACAAAAAAAAAGTCATTTAAAAGTCTCCAAGACATCATCTGCTCGCAACTGGTTAATTTTCTAAAGAAGAATACCTACCTCGTTAGATGACAACATGGATTTAGAAACCATTACTTATGAAAGGCGCAACTAGTATCTTTCAAAACCTCCAAAACCTAAGGGTACTACTAAAAAGGAGAGAAAATATTTAATTTCAATCATTCTTTTTATATTTATTATAAAAACTATTTTCTTTTCCTGGATTTCGCAAACTCATTTGAACAAACAAATTAGACACGCTATATATCTTCTCGCACTGAACTTATCCATATGGTTTCGTCTCAATTCTAAAACGTAATATTTTCATTATTTTTATTTATATAGTTAAGATCGATTGTTTGGAACCCCCCTCTCGCTTTCAACACTTACATTACTGATATTTTGTTGTTTAACAATGTTCTTAACTATATGTGCACTGCGTCATTATTTTTGTAAGCTCCCTTGCCTTTTTAATGTATTACTCTGAAGGCATTTTAATAAAAGAAATTAAAGAACACGAATCACAATATAATATAAGTAATAAAGTAATCATTATAAAATAGCCTCCTTTTTGTTGCGTGTAATAGGTATATTCTGAAACAAAGGAGGTTATCCGATGAATCAATACTCCGGAATATGAAAAATCATTGTTCAACTTGCTAAGCAAGATTTCAATATTTTCTCTTAATGTTTATTGTGCGTCAATACCCAATGTTTTTCTAAAGAAAGAAAAGTCCACCTACTCCCAAATTCTGCTCGAAATGCTGTTTCCAGGATGTAGTGGCGTTCCACCCGAAATTCCTCTTGCTCCAGGATACCCGTGATCAGGTCGTGCGCAATGCGCTCTTCGTAGTTAAGTTCCGGATTTTCAAACAGCGTCCTCCCGATGTTATGCAGACTTTCGGTCCGATCTTGTACGGCGCTTTCAACCATTTCTTGGAAAGAGGTCATCTGCAATGAGAACGCAAGCTTTCGTGACGATTGATTCCACAATTATGCAAAGTGGGTAAGAGCCCTAAGAGAGTGGACATCGGCTGTACGAGGGGTGGCTCCAGCGCCCCTTCCTACGCCAAATAGCGAACGGTCGGCACACGCTAGCCGCGCGGATTCTTGAGCTCTGGCGAGCTGCAAGCGCTGTGTGCCGCTTGTAGATCTGGAGCCGACGGAGCGATCGCCGAGCGTCTCTATCCTATCTGTGGGAGAGTGAGCGGAGAATACAGAGATGTTCTCTGCGGTGCTTGCTCCGGACTTGTTTCATCAGTAGTAACTCGCAACTTTGCAGTTTCAATATCTGTGTTCTCGCACCCACACAAGCGATTGCGCCAGCAGCACTGGACGATTGGTTATATGAATATCAGAAGGATTCAGCCAAATTATTTTGTGCTTTGTGCGTTTAAAAAAAAGAAAAAGCTATCGTTCTTTTGTAAATGTGTTCCACATGGCGCACCCAATTTTCTAAAAATCAAGAACTAAGAATTATTGAAAGTTTGCGCGGCAATCAAAAAAAAAACACTAATTTTTCTGCAAACTACATTTGATCCACCCTTGAAAAATAATAATTAAAAATTTGCAGAAATATATTGCATTATTTTATCTTAATTTAAACACAAAAAGAACGCCTATAGCTAGGTTTATGTTGCAGCCAATTACCGTTGGAGGGTTTCTGTACCAGCGACTAGTGGTACTTGAGAAACTCGTCCACAGTGGCCCCCTTGGTCTCATTATCGTTTCGACACCATGGAGCACTACATAAAAAGGCTGTAAGCATTTTTTTATGCGTGACATGGCCACTATTGTCTGCGAATACTGAACTTCGCAGTTTGTTCGGTCTTTACGGTGTGGCAGTGGCGTCACCAGGAACATTTTTGGGGACGGGGGAGGAGAGGGTTCAGACAACTGGGATGCCGATGACTTGCGGTGCGGCGGAGGGCGAGGGGTGGGTGGTTCCTAATATTTTCTTAGAAATTAAATCACAGGCTCTGACGGATCCTGATGGAGAGAGAGAGGTAGTGTCTATCTGAGTGTCACGTGACCTTCGAGAGGCCTGTGCGTAGTGACGCTTTGTCACTTCACATGTAAGCGGCTGAGGTGGGTCATTGCGTCCGCTAAAGAACATCATAATTGCAAACAGGGTACAGCAATGCCTAGAGGAAAGAATCCGCCCATTTTGCCAGAAGATTGTACGCACTCTAAGTAGGACGCGCAGTGAACATGTACAATCAACCAAGTACAACACAGCGAGGATCGAACGCGCCGCAAAGTTAAGTTTTCGTAGGCAATATCAGCGACATCGATCATTGAACAGTTGACAGGTTGTTTTGTTTACAGCGCTCCCTGGTGTCTGAACGATAATGAGAGCAAGTACGGTAACTGTGACTGCCGTGCTTGAGTACCAGTGTTCTTTAAAGGGGCACTACACCACCTTTTTCCGATAATCTATTTATGGCCATAACTCAATATATATGTCCTAAGCCTCAAAAAAAGAACATTACATTCGTGCGTTGGCTTTTTTTTTTCTTTTTGCTAAAATCGGTATTTACGAACGATTATCTCGAAACTATCGTACAACCGAGAGCGCATCGTCAGACGAAGAGAAGCCCTTCTCCTCATCCAACATCGCCCTCTGGTGTATGCTATAGCCCCAACAAAATCAATATTTGATTCCTGTTTTTATTTAAAAACAAAAATCCGCCCCGCGTAAATGTAATTTTAGGCTTTTTTAGGACTCTTACAGCCCATAGATGGAGTTGCGACTATAAATAGGCTACAGCAATGAGTGGTTTAGTGCCCCTCAAGAGAGTAAGCCTCCAACGGCAATAACTCCAAAACAGCGACCGGAATAAACTTTTTTGGTGAAACCAGCTGAAGAAAGGACACCCAAGATGTATCAGAACCAAGTAGCTCAGCTTATTTCCTTAGTAATGCCACATGTTCTGGTAGATATGAAATTACCGTTTTTAAAAGCCTCATTGAATGCAGTTTGACGAAAATAGAGGATGATTATTTTTATATTCAAGCACAAAAATTTAATAATTTGCACTTTTTTATTTAAAACAAAAGCCTCACGAGTAATTTAGAAATAAAACACTTTCAATAGTAGAACGTTTATTTATTGTTGTTAAAAGTGCACAAAGAATGAAACACGATGCGCAAGACGTTTAAGCTAAATGCCTATTTTGAAGTGAATTAGAAATTTTCTAAAAAAAGCCTCAATATAAACATATGTGCAAAAACCCAAGTTGACTATTTAATATCTTGTTAAATATAAACTTAAAGAAAAATATACTTAATAAAAGCTAGTTTGCATGCGTTAAAGGTAAAAATATTTACGGCGTAGGAAGTTGTATTCTTTAATCCTGTGGCCCTCCAACTAGCGCCTACGCGCAATTGGAAAAGGCATTTTTCCAACCCCTCGCAGACGCGATTTTTTTTTTCACGAAAACAATGAAATTTTTTAGCTTGCAAAGGTAATGCTTTCCCCGTTGCGTAAATACGTGTTGCTACTGTATATAATAAGTCCATTGTAGTAAAAAATACAAATAACATTTCTATGATAATAATTCCGCACAAACACTACCCTAAAAAAATGCAGATGAATTAGCCGTTTTGATCAAATAGAATGATCCTTACAAAGCCACCGAAGGAGAAGGCTCCATAACAATTATTTCATTCAAGCAGTACGGTTTATTCATTTAAAAGTTTGCTATTTTTACTGGGAAGACCGCGAAAGATCATGGCAATTTCCCGTGATATATATAGTATACATACAGTGCAATCCTCTTATAACGATACCAAATGTAACGATGTACCGCTTATAACGATCACTTTAAAGAGGACTGTGCTTTTTCTTTGTTTTAGGTGTTTGTAAAGAAAAACACACCCATAGCGAAAGGATTATATTAGGCATATGGCTACACCAGTCAAAAATCCAGTTATTCGATCAAACTTTTGGCCAAAAATGAAACTAAAAATTAAACTAAAAGCCGACCGAACGATACCCAACTTGACACGCCATACGCATACTCATGCTAAACGGATGCATATCGAAATTCACCACGAGTTGCAGCGGTGCGCGGACTCAAGTCGACCGACCGATATTATCAGCATCACCGGCGTCGGTCGTCACATTTTAAAGATAGCGCCGGAAAAATTCACGCAGTGAAAACGCAAGTCTCGACAGTTTCGGTGCAGACAAACCAAAGCATACTGAAGCATTCTCGTCAAGGTTTAAACAAGTTAGGAGTCTCGTCCAGATCTACGATCTCTTCCCGTTCGCCACCTTTGCCACCCCGCGGCAACCTCGCGGCTACACGACCTTGATCGCAGCAGCCGCCGTTGACAAAGGTGGTCAGGGCGACGGCAATGACGACGAGCGAATTTGCGATGGTGTCAACGGCATCATCTGCACCAACATCGATGGTCGTCTGTCACCAATTTATGTTCAAAGAGTTTTCCTTGCCGTTCAGTTACTGTCGATTTCGTACATGCGATAAGACTGCGGGCACCACACGCGTAGCAACTGCAGTTGCGACGCGTGTGGTGCCCGCTACATATCCATATGGATATGTAGCGAATCAGAATCGCGCATGAAGCGTTGATTTTCTGCTCTTTATGCACGATTTATGAACTGCTTGTCCGTGTGAACTAATAAAGAAAATATTTATCTTAAAGCTGATATTTTGTGATGTGATGAATATGTTGCATAGCTGAGTAACTCGCTCTATCCTCCAGCAGGGAATATTATTTCGGGAATATTTCGAGGCCAGTCCAGATACAATGATAATCGGTTATATTGATTGAAATTGGAGGTTTTCTCATCGTTATAAGGGAGCTTCACTGTGCACGTTATTATACGGTATTTATAAAACGCTGACGGGGAGTTTTTTGTTCTCTCAAGTAGTGTGCTTGGAGACTGGAGTGGCTTAATGGTGCTTAGTAACCGCTATTTGGCTACACCCCCTTGACCATATTTTTTTTATAAAAACTGTTAAAATAATATTAGTCACACCTACCTCTGTACTACTTCCGGCTAGGCTAGTTTTTTAATACAAACAAACACGCTATCGTTCAGTTTATATCTAGGCAACACCTTTCTTGGTTACAAAATCTCGTAAAAATGCAAACGTTCAGGTCTCCGCTTTTTCTAACTTGTACGCAACACGAGAAACGTTGTCGCAGTGAAATTTGAAGATAAATTAAATGGTGGCTACTTACTGCGAGATTCGATAATTCCTCTTTTTCCGAGAGAAACTGTGAATCGCGACAAGAATATTTGTCGATTGTGAGCGTCTGGTTCTGTCCGGAAATATGCACATAAAAGTCGCATTCCAATTCCATTCAAAAACAGCTGTCACATATCCAAACCACACGTCATAATCACCGGAAATAAGAGCGGAAAGAGGAGCACAAGAAACAAATTTTATATTATTGGGTTGCATCCTGGCGAATTTCGTCCTCAGATTGCGCACCTGCACGAACCTTTCCGTTTCTTTGGGGGAGCGTGCTGGTGAGAGGAGGGGGGGGGGGACACACTACTGTTGTTGAGATACTCTTAGACCGTGATATTTGCGACTCCAGCTGATCAATGGTCCTCTCTCGGCAAAAATCTAAATCGAAAAAGTTGAAACGATTAGCTGGCAGAGAAATGAATTCCAGGGGTTTTCGCTGCTGACTTCTTAACTTGCCCCCGACTAAGTCGTCACTCCCGTGATTCCAAGTTTTGTTACAAACATGTTTGAGCTTTGTTTTGTTGCGCTTTGAGCAATCGAAACGCATTCCGACCAAGAGAAAGACGCGACAAGGTTACCTGAAAAGGAAAAAGATGCTGCCATCTCCAGTGCCGTAGGAGTGACCTTGCCCGTCCCCAGTAGTCGACCAAGACGTCTGAGCGGCGAATGGAGACTTTGGCGAGAGCGTTTCTCCTATGGTGAACCAGACGAATCTGTGCTCTG